CTTTGTCATCCGATGCTCGAGGCCCCCATGAGCTTTTATGGGCGTGTCGGGCTTAGCGGGCAAAGCTGTTTAGATCCTTGGCATGGCCCCCGTTGGTGCTAGCAGGGATTGATAAGCTGAGGCGTGCTGGGACTGGGAGAAGATGGAAGCAGCACTGACGCTGCTGCTCAGGCTGGTGCTTAGGCAGCTCGTTCAGACAGTAAAGCCTCTCAGATTACAGAATCATGGAACCATAGAATGCATTGGAAGGGACCCTTAGAGGTCATCTAGGCCAACCTGCAGTGAGCAGGGACATCGTTAACTTCAGTGCTGCCTGGAACAGGCATCTTGAACTGAGCAGAGTCTTGGTTACGGTTCGTACCAAAACTGCCATGGAGGGATTTCTCTGGGACTGCGGTCCCTCTTCATCTTCTTAGATCCGAGGTCCTTAGCAGACTGTGTCAGCTGGTGTGAGGAGCAGTCCTGCTGCTCGCGTTGCTGCAGCTCACGTGCCCTTTGGTTACCCAGTTTTGGCCATGAACCAGGATTTAATTTCATTTGGATGAAATTCATGCATGTAATAAGGCACCTGGATCAGGGCGGGGATTTCCAGATAGTAAACTGCAAAGCTGTGAAATGAGTTTGCTTCACCAGCGCTGCGTCACTGGGGAATAACCCAGTGTCTGGACAGAGTGCACAAATGAGACAAGTTTTTGTTTTCTAGAAAGCAAAGCAGTCATTGGATCCCCTCAAAAATCAGAGGAGAAACGAGGAGAGAAGCGAAAAGCATCTGAGATGGATGACAATGGAAAAAAGGTAGGAACAGCTGCACAGCAGCTACTTTGGAGGAAGCTGAGGCAGTTTCAGTTGTCTGTTCACTTTGCCCTTCCAGCTGCACAAGTCCAAAATCTTCCTGTAGCAGCAACCTAAATTGAAATGAAACATAAAGGCAGAAACAGCAGCAACAAGCCCCCTTGTAAAGGAAGCGGGTGGCTGCTGCTCCTCTTCCCTCTCTGCAGAGCTGACATTCCTGGCCTGTCGCACCTAAGACCGATGCTCTGCTCCCCCTCCAACGGCGTCCTGCTCCGTGGGGCGCTGCCATGGCCGAGCAGCTGCTCTGCCCGAGTGCTGCGTGCAGGAGAGTTGTGAAGGGAGAGAACTGTCCTGCCTGCCCCATCAGGTGGGAAATGGCAGGAGCTGTAATTCCCTGATAAGCCTGGAGTACCTGTTTTGATATTAACGAGTTGCCTCCCAGGGCTGTTATGTTCTCCTGCTTGAACTAAGAAACATCAGCTTGTAAAGACACGTTAAGACCAGGTGTACTGGACCCCGTCAGCAGTGAGGGGAGCACCGGGATAATTCCCCTGAGCTAGGGGAGCGCTGCTGAGCTGTGACACCTGCCCGTCAGAGGGAACTCTACGGGCCTTGCTCTTGATTTCAATTTACGGTACTAGGCACGGGGCAGGAACTGTGAATGGACTTGTTCATGCCTCTAAAGAATTCTGAGCAATTTCCAGGCCAATCTAATGTTTTTTAATGTCCTGTCTTCTCCTCTTTCACAACAGCAGCCGCTGCTGGACATATTTACTGGTGTGAAGCTATACCTGGCGCCCTCTGTGAAGGACTTCGACAAAATCCGGCGCTACTTCATAGCGTACGACGGGGATCTTGTGCCCGAGTTTGATGTAGCCTCAGCTACGCATGTTATAGGGGACATTGATGAGAATCCTGGTGCTAAGAGGGTGTCTCCCAACTGGATCTGGGAGTGCATCCGGAAGCGGAAGCTGGTAGCCCCATGCTAGCCACGTGGGGCAGCTGAGCAGCCTCGACATGAGAATTTCCTCGAGGGAACAGCTGAGAACTAGGTAGGTGGAAGAAGCTGCAAGATTCCTTGGTGAAGACGCGGCTGGAAAGGAAGCGCCCAAGTCCATCAGAGGTAGCTCCACAGATCCAGAGCAGCCATACGGAACTAATTAAAGCAACTCCCTAAAGCGGTGTCGCTGCTGAATCCATTTTTCTGCCCATGATGTAGAACACTGCGCTCACCTAGGTGCTGATTTAGTCTCCTTGGGTTTTTAAAAGTTCGGGTATTTTTATAGATAAATAAAACGGAAGCAGTTTCTCCTTGGCTGTAAGGACTTTTTCTCCAGAGATTATTCTCAGGACAGGACTACAGCCCAGCTCTGAACCTGGTGCCTGGGTTGCCGGGATCATTTTGCTGCGTGGCTCCTGCTTGCGTGAAGGACGCGTCCTTCTCCTTGTTCGACTTTTCTGTCCTGTCTTCTGTCCAGCCCAGGTCTGTGTCCAGCAGCCAATCCCCCCTTGGCCATGGGTTTCATATTAGGACACCAAATCAGCAACTGCACCCCCGTGGTGTCTTTTGTTTCCTGGAATATGTTGCTCGTGTTCTGCCATTCGTGTTTCAGCAAGTACAAGCTGAAATGGGAACTCTTCCAGCTGGATCTTTTAGGGTGGCTGAAAGACCCTTTAGCTGAAGCTGCTCAAAAGTGCTGCAAGTACTTGAATATTCTTGCACTAAGGCAGGTAGGTTTCAGAAATCGGGGTTCATTGTAACTGTTTTACAAGTGACGCTGCGTTTGCTGAATAACTTGGCCTGTGTGCATTGTGAAAGGGACAGCGAGTTGACCAGCTCCTTCGACTTGCGGGTACAGAGTCCGCTCTCCCCTTTGGAATCACCACAAGGTTACGCCTGTGGGGCTACAACCTTCCTGTTCTCAGGGAACTTTTTTCCTTCGGCCTCTTCTGTCCTCGGCCCCAGCCCCGCAGCGCTATGGGAGTGCCTGGTGCCCTGAGCCTCTCTGGGCTGCAGGATCTCTGCTTTCCCCTGTTGGTAACCAAGTCCGAAAGAAAGGTTAACTAAATCACATTTCAACTTTATTATAAAATTATAAACCAAACTTCTATACCAAAACTGGTAAGTTTAACCATCAGCGTCCCAAGAGAATTTAATGGAGAGTAACAGGCCATTTCAAGATTATCTCTGAAAATATTTCAGCTATGCACAGTGTACGTAAAGCACATAAATATTTAAATATTTCCTTTATTAGTTCAGATCACTATAGTCCTTCGCATCATTCATCAGTTTCCTCCAGAATTTGATTTTCCTTTAAAAAAAAAAATCACATCCATAAGAAGATAATCCATATTTTATTTTATTTTTTGCAAAGAAACACTGCAGTCAGGAGAAAAAAAATAATGAGTTCTCCGTTCAGAAAGCACATTTTGGTGTCAGAGGGTGGGTGTAGCTTCTCCTTGCTAAAATTTCAGGCATTAAGCTGCACCTTGATTTATCTACCCTCTACAAGTACCTCTGACCACAGGGGAATAATCTTCCTGCTACATTTCCCCCAGCCCTGAGTTTACCAGAAGACAGGACAACATAAATTTTCACAGTGAATGTACTCGAGGAGGCTGTTCCCGACTTGGTGCACTTCCGGCCCTCGTGCAGCAGCTCCCTGGGACCCTCCTGAGGAGCAGCCTGGCTGCTCACCCGCCTGCCTTTGCTTTTTTAAACACCTTGCATTGGGCTGCACCAGTTCCCGCCTCACCTGGGAAGCTGTTGAACCTTAAGGTAAAGGTTAGCAAACAACCTGAATGGGGAAAGAGGTAAAACTCCGAATTTTTAGTTCAATAAACCTCAGCAGCTGTTGCATTTTTCTGGAGCTTGAACACCCCCTCGGCTCCAGGAGCTGTCAGTGGACCCTTGGGGTTCACGCGGTTCCTCTGCTGACGGCCGGGCAGCCGTTGGGTTTGAACACTGAGGTCATCACCCCCCACACAAAGGGGAAAGCCAGACAAAAAAAAAAAAATTCCGCAGCAGAAGGTACTTGGCTTCACCAGTGATTGGAAAGGAGGATACAACCCCAGGGGGCTGAAAACTTAAGGCATCAAGATCCTGAACCAGCCATGTCAGCAGCCACGCGGCCTGACGGGCTGCCAGCCCAGCGGGCTGGGCTGAGGACAAGCTCTAAGGGCACGTGTCACCCAGCAGGCCCCCGACTCTCCTGCCCGCCCTCACAAGCAGAAAATGGGCAAAATAAATTGCTTTTGATTCGCAGTCTGACTGTGACAGGACTGGAACGTGGAGCAAAGAGGAGGATGGAGGGAGCGGGTCAGTAAACAGAAGAATCAGCTCCTGATGATCGCTCACCTTCCTGATTGCTGCTTTTTTCCTGCCTCCCCTCTAGAAAGAAAAGTCACCTGTATGTAAATATAACTGTGCAGCTGTAATGACTTCCTCACTGAACCCTCTAAACAACTTAAACCTTACTCTGTAGCTCCTTAAGCCAAGCCTGCTCAGTTTCAAACCGGTTGCTGGCACATGCTGTACGGAAGCCTGCAAAGGACTCGGCAGCAGTGGCACCAGAGCTCACCCTCGCGCTGGCGTGTAAACACAACTCCCCCAGCCCCGCACACGGCACGGCTGTAGGGTTCACAGTCTCACTCTCTGTACGCTTTTTCCAAGAATGCAAAGTCCATCTTCAAATAAAGTTCCGCATTTTTCCACAATTGCACTAGGCTCCAAATACACTCATTCTGAATACAGAAATCGGAGGCGGGCTGCCTGTCCCGCAAGCATAAGCATTTACCATTAAATAAAAAGGAAAAAAAAAAAAGATTAACAAGCACAGTAAAATTTTAATCTTTGAAAACTGAAAATAAAGTTGTTGCTGGGTGCACAGCCGTAGCAGCAAAACAAATGCCGCTTTCTGAGATCCCAGTCCACTCTCATTTATTATTCAGGGGATGATGGTTGTGGTGGAAAGCCAAGCACCCATCTATCCCCAGCACTAGTGGATCAAGGTATCGTAGAACGCAGGTTGTTAATGATTTCTGTGTCTGCTGCTGGCAAGACCTCCAAGGAGCCCAG